TGCGTGGCTGTGTTTGGATCTCCATAGAGATGGTGAGGACAGGGATCTGGTTGTCGTCACCCAGCAGCATACGGCTCCGCCACGGGGACAGCTGTGCATGGGGACGAGGATGGTGTGGTGCGAACCGCCGCAGAGGAACCTATCGCTCAGCTCTGCCGGCTTACACCAAGCGGGGATTTGGCCCTGCTGCCCACGCTGGGGGCTGAGAAGAGGACTGGTCTGGGGGTGAAAAAGTTGGGGGGAAGGAAAAACCAGAGGGGACAGCCTGGCTGTCTGTTGCATCAATGTAATTTCAATTTTGAAAAGATATACAGAAAAAATGCAGAGACAGTTCCAGCCCCGGGGAATTTGGCAAAGCCTGAGGTTCCTCAAACATGGCAGGTACACACCCCAACACGCAGGAGGATGTACAGACCCAGGTGGCCCATGGCACCAATAGCACTCAGTATTTTTGTACCTTGCACTGTTTCCCGTGAAACTGGCTGTGTGAAAGGATTCCAGGGAGGAGGGTCCAGAAACCATTGCAAGAAGCCCAGAGGTTTATGGATAGACTTGTGTGCCCATTTTCTAAAGCTCAGCAGTCCTTCCCATCACATCATCCTTCCGTCCTCCTGCTGATCCTTTTGGTCCCTTCCCTGGGCAGCACTGGGAAGGGAGCGGTGCTGTAGCCCGTGGCGGGGGCATCAGGAGCGCAGTCCGTGGGTCTGGAGCCACTGGTAGAGGTGGGATTGAGAGGTGCGGGACAAGACAAGGTTTTTTAGCCTTTCTATCTTTGGGAAAGGCTGCCCTGAGCACTCAGCCCTGCTGTCGCCTGCCCTGATGCTGTGAGGGCACCCAAGTGGGGTCCCAGCACCCTGCCCACGGGAGAGCAACGCATCAGGGGGTGGAAGGTCTTGTTGGATGCTTTTTTAAAGTGACCTTTAGTGTCTGAACAGCATCAGGTGGGATTTAATAAGGGGCTGACAGCAGAAAAATGGTTAATGAAGCCTTCCTCTGCCTGCCCTTCCTCTGCCTCCTGCCCCAGCTGGGTGATGGCTCTTGGTGGCCACTAACTGCTGGGCAAGTGGTGCCCACCGCACCGTACGAGGCCCCGTGCAAACGGTGCAAAGCATGCAAACACGGTGCGAGCTGTGCAAAGGCTGTGGAAACCCCTTGTGAAGCATGCGAAAGCCACGCAAGGTGCTGTGCGAGACGTGTAAATGGCTTCGGGCCCGGCCATCTCGCATCCCGTGGGATGGGGATCTCTCGGGACATTGTCCCGGCAGCTGCCTCCATTGCTTTGCGCTGTGTGTACGTACCGAGCAAATCCGCTGGTTGGCATTAGAAACCAGCCTGCGATACTGTGACAGAGCACCTGCAAAATTACAGCAGAAAGAAATCCGAGAGGCTGCAGTGACAAATGCTCGTGAGAAGCGATTGTTTGGGGGGGGAGAGGAAAAAAAAAATAAAAAAACCCCCGTGTTTGTTTTGGCGAAACACCTACATTCCTTCAAATAAATCATCGCGGCGCTTGTTTTTGTATTTGCGGAGAAATCGCAACAGACATAACCAGGGACTTAAGAGACTTGAAATAACATCCTAGTAAATACTCCGCTTTGTTATTTTAATCGAGACCCAAGGAAACATCTGAATTTTACCAAGGAAACCCTCCGTGCGAGGGAAAACATTAACCCGGAGCCCGGCCGGGGCTTTGTTTTGCTCCGGTGTCGGTCTCCCGGGGAGGAATTACCGGGGCTGATGGAGGCGCTGAGCCCGCACCCCCGGGGCCGCCCCGCAGCGC